CCCCAAAACCCCAAAACCCCAAAACCCCAATGTTAGATCCTAATATTGATACATGGCTGAATTAACAAGGACTCTTAGGTAGGAAGGTAAACTTGAAACTGAACTCCATTCCTTTTTCATCAATGTATTCTTGTAGTTTCTTGGGCAGCCGCTTCAGAGCATCATAGAATCTCTGAGGATAAGATAAATGCCTTCTTGTGGTATCTAGGAGTTCGAGTTCAACCGATTCCAGGGGTAAGTGAAGAGCTGTTTCCATGAGTAGATTGAGGAATTTTATAATGTACTTGTAGAGCGAATCGAGTGATTCTACGTATTCTGAAGGACCGGGTAATTTTAGAAAATACATCAAGTTTTCTTCCAATTTAATATGATTAATTTTACTTTCGATGGATGATGATTTTACCATTTCGCCTTTAAAATTTTCCTGAAATCATATTAATAAAAACAATTTCAGTCTTTTGAGAAACTTTGGTAAGTATATTAAAAATCTCCATAATAGTTGGATCATATTTAAAGAATATTATAACTTTACAATCTCCCATTTCTAATAAATTTTCGATTGTATCTTTTACTTCAAAATAATTGAACATAGAGCCATCAACTTTGAAAGACTCAAATGGAATCAGATAGCTATCAGATGTATAATTTTTAAGATAACTCTGATAAATATAATCTAGAAATTTTAATACATGTTTGAAATTCAGTTTTTTGCTAAAAATCTTTTCAAGAGGGACGGCTCCCAATCAATTTTAAATGAAGCAATCGAAATTTTGGAAGAATCAACTTATTTCCAATAATTCTTTCATAAAATGCATTAAATCTTGAAGTATCAAAAATCCCAGGGAGATCAAATTCACTAGGTAGATATGCATGAGGATCAAAGTATATTCTGACTAGTTTCATGACTTCCCATCCACGACCAACAGTCAGTGTCATAAGTTCCATAAATTCATGCTCTCTTTGTTCATAATACTCCTTGGTTGTGTTGCATAGCAATCTCATGAGCCACTGCCAATGCTCAATATGCCCAACGAATGCAAGGATTTCGAAGCATGTGCCTCTCTTTGTGAGCAGATTTTTAAGCTTATTGCTAAGGTTGGATGAGTAAGTTTCCATATTATACTGATTATTGAATTATTTCTTTAAAAAAAATTATGTTGGGGTTTTGGGGTTTTGGGGTTTTGGGGTTTTGGGG